CCCCACGCCGACAGAGGCTCCTTGCGGCGCCCAGGGCCCTGGGGCAGCCCGGCACTCGGCCGTCTGATCTGGACTCGGCGCTCTCGGGGCACGGGTCGTCTTCTTATCTCTCCACAGCTACTGGGTCGCCGCGTCCAGTACACACACAAAATTACATCCCTGTACGGAAGGCCAGGGTCTCCTCCGTGTCGCTGGCACTTAGATCACAAACCTGTGTGGTTTCAGTATAAAATACAAAAGTGTTCGTACGGCTGTATCTAAAAAGAAATGAGACAGTTGCTACACTGAGAATAAAAAACCAAGCCATCTGGAGACAGAGCCACCACTGCCCGCTGAGAAAGGACCCTCGGGTGCAGGCTGTGTGGGCGCCGTCTCCTTCAACAGTCAGTAACTTGAGTGGATGCTCCAAATGGCAATTAAACCGCCACAAAGTACAATGGGAAATATCAGAAACGCTCTCAAAAGTTGTTAAAACATCACATAAAAGAGACAAGAAACAGCAAGAAAACATCTAAGAAAAGCAGGCTGCGGTACAACAAGCATCGTTAAGAAAAGCTCAGAAGTGCATTAGTTCTGGTGAGAGATATATGAGCAACAGCTCTTACGAGATGTAGAACCCATCCTGTAACTATGGGCTGTCCATATACTGTCATAGTCAGAGTCTTCCGAGAGGTCTGAAGGCTCCAAACGAGAAAGGCTGCTGCGACGACCCAGGGAGTCTAGACTTGACTGGTCGTCATCAGCCAAGACGTGATTATGCATCAGGTCAGTGCCTTGCCATGCTAAGACGGGGTGGGGGTGGGAGTGGGACGACAGGGTGGGTGGGGGGACAGGCAGAGGTGGGTGAGCAGAAGGACGGCAGGAAGAGCCACAACCGAAAACATGGAAACAAAAGCAAAAGGTGATGGGAAGAGAAGGGAATGAGAAAATACTGTTAAAAAACAGCAACAATGTTCATTTCTCCTCATTTATGGCTGGGTTTTATTTACGAACTTATTAATTAGCACAACCCTTAGAATAAAACTAGACCAACTACTGTTTAAACAAACCTAGGTCACCAGTCTGTTTCCAAACTGTTCCTTTTTAAAGCTACTGCTATTAAGCCCTCACTTACGAAATCTTTTACAAATTAAGCCCATGTTCACAAGCAAATTCTAAAGACATCTGACACGTAACCAATTCTGCTACACATTCGATTAACACACAGTCTCGCTTGGGACACCTGTGAAAGGAACCGTTTATGTGTTTAATGCGGATATACTGAATGCAAAATGCTTCCCAAGGATTTCTGGCGGACTTCGTCAGCTATCTCTTCGCCAGACTCTGAATCACCAGAAGCCATCTTAACAATGGGGGTCGAAACTTACCTTGTCACACTGTAGTGACCGAGAAAACTTCAGACGGAGAACGGGGTTACACAGGCCCCTTCCCCCTCACTCCCCTTTCCCGCCGCCCCAGGGCGCTCACCCCCACTCAGCCAGGGGAATGGACATGGTGGGGAGACACGTCTGCTCAAATGCCATCAACCCGGATGCAGACCCTCCCGCTGCCATGAAGGGAGACGTGAGCAGGGAGCGCCCCTGTGTCAAAAGCAGGACGGCAGAAGGAAGCGGGCACAAAGTGGGAGAAGAGGAGTGAGCCCGTGAGCGGCTGGCGACGTGAGCAGGGATGCTGGCCAGGCGGCCACGAGTGGGACGCACAGGCTGGAACGGGCCCGCGGAGGGGCCGGAGGACACACACGCTTGATGGGAACCAGGCATGGCTCAGCACAGCAGCCACGGGCTCCATCCTGTTCCTGCTCTGGGCAAAGTTAAACCCATTCCCAAATCAAAACAAGAGCGGGCAGTGGGCTCGGCTGGTTTTCTTCGACTACATCCCTATGGTCCTTGGGGAGGAAATCAATACTAAAGATGTCTGGATGGTGAAGGCTTCTTGGCATCCAAACATATACTGAACAGAACTGAGCTTTAGGTGAGACATATCGTCCCAACTGTTCTTACTATGCATTTAATATGGACAGAGCTGCTCTGGGGTCAGATGCACCTGACCCATCTCTAGATTCTTAGGTACACTACCTGTCCAACATAAAGGATCCATTTCCCCATCCTACCTGTTCCTGAGAACGTTCAGTTTAAGGTCATCTATGACTGTTAAGACCTCTGAGGCCCCAGAGTGGTTAGCCCATAATATCAGTGAAAAACAAAAACCACTGTATTGTCCAGTGCTTTTCTTGCATAGCAGAAGTGGAAACACGTAACACAGGCAACGTGATGAGACCTGCACACACCAGGGCCACAGCAGAGCAGGGCCCCGTCTCCTGGATGAGGCAACGCAGCTCACACAAAAGCTCACACAAAACTCACATGACCAGGTCCGTTCACCTGAGATGGCCCGGTTAAAATTTTATTTCAAACAGTTGAAGTGGAGATGAATATTTTTTAAAAAATCTCAAATTCAAAACCCAAAAAACAATGGCCACATATAGCCTATTACCTAAAAATACAAACTCTTAACAAATATAGGAAACTGTAATATCGTAAATGATAAATTACTGCTCCGTCACCTGCAGGCCCTTCCACTCCTCTCCTGCTCTGCTGACTAGTCACTACAAACAGGCGTCTTCACCAGACGGAGGACGGACCGAAAGTCCTAACATCATAGGTGGGACACGTAAACTACTAGCCATAAGAAGTTTCTAGATCATCTGCAGATTCAGCCGGGGTTAAGCCCTTTGGCCCTGTCCTCATACCTGTAGTCATCTTTAACAAAAGCTCAAGCGGTTGAAAATTCCTCTGTCCACCTTTTCTTTTTCTCCCCATCATTGGCTTACACCAGACATGACACTGAGTTGAACCACCACATTGCAGGTGATGCCAATGAAGTGAGTTGAGCAATCCGCCAAAAGTCAAGGTGGAAAGGAAACCAAAAACACAAAATCTAACAGAAACCAGTTTTCATGCCAGAAGTAATATATGTCATCCAGTTCGAAAGAAAGGGAGGGAGGGGGAGGGAAGCTCAGCCCCTTTTCTCCTGGACAAACCACATCGTGACTCCATCTGCTGCGACCACCCTGCACTCCACTCTCAAATGCCAGGGAAGTTTCAAAAACAACAGAGCCCATCTTTTTAGTGTCCACACAGCAGATTAGTATCTTTTTCACATCAGACGTTACGCACAAGATGCAGGTAAACCCAGTGGTGCTGAAATCTACCCGACATCACTGGTGTGTCTACTTCTAAACCTTTGTAAGTGCAATCATTGTTTAAAAGGGGGGGAGGGCTAAAGGAACTCTTACTCTAGGCTTATATTTTTGACAACAACTCTAAGAAGCAGCGCCCCCCCCAAATTCCACTACCACACCCATAGTTTCAACAGCTTAAACAACTGAGCTGAGCGAGTCCCCCGCTGTCTTCCAACCCGAGAGAGTTTTATAAACTCTGGCAGTGCCCTACACTTCCAGGTTTCCCAGCGGAACCTTCTCTAGAAACCAGTTGTTTTACTGACAGCTCAGATCCCTTCCCTTGACTGAGGGACGCCGGGCCAGGCCCCGGAAGCGCCCTCACCGGGGACCATGCCCACGAGCCTGCCCAGGGCCCACAGCTGTGTCCTTCAGGTCATGATTCTAAAAAGCAAAACGAACCACCAGAGTCCCAGCGGGTTCCCACGACACTTACTTGAGTTGAGCGTCTGCCGCGTCTTGGCGCTGGTGCAGTAAGCCTCGATGACCTTCAGAATCTGGGCATCCTCCTCCAGCGCAGCCGTGCCTGCAAGGACACACAACCCGTCACAACCCAGAAGTAACAAGTACAGTTAACCGGACAAACACAAATCATCAACTCAACGAACGATGGTGACAACTAACAATCCCTCCTTTTGTTTTCTCGCCAGATAAATGTTCTCTGATATTCACAAGATAGTTATATTCAGAAGGATTTTTACTTTTTCCTAAGTATTTTTTTACCTGCAACATATCTGGCAAAGGGCTAATATCCTAAATATACATATAAGTTGCCTTACTAACCCACAAGAAAGATGATATACCCCATCCTGAAAATGAAAAAAGGCAAGAAATAGGAACAAACAATTCACAAGAGAACAGTCAGAAAGAAAAAAATGTTCCTTCTCACCAAGAAAAGAAGTGAAAATTAAAACTAAATATCATGTTTGCACGTCAGCCTGACAAAAATCAGATGCCCGAGAAAACTCAGTGTGGATGCGGATATCAGAAAGGACAAGTTCCCTCCATCCTCATCTGGGAGGGGGGAGTGAAGACAGGTGTGACCCCCTTGGCAAAGCCATTTGACCCTACTTATCAAAGGCTTTAAAGTGAGCATCTCCTCCGATCCACAAGTTCCTACTAGAGTTAATCTAGGACGCTCCAGAGCTCTCCCGTCAACTGGGCTCCAGACCCAGCTTCCTCTGCACTCAAGAGGCCACGTGCGTAGAGCGTGCAGCCAGCAGAGCAAGGGCCCCTAAAGGTCCTGGTACCGGGCGCAGACCCTCGCACCCAGCATAGTTCATACCATCCTGTGGTCCAACTCTGCTTTCTGCTTTTCTAGATTTTTCTGCATCTTCTAAGATATTACTCAGAATATATTTTAAAAGGCGTCAACTACTCTAACAAAAAAATGTGGGAAGAATGGAAGACTGAACTACTTATAAGCTGTATCAAAAAGCCTGCACGCCACCGTATGATATAGACAAACACAAGGCGGGCCGCATGCTCGCTGCTAAGAGTCAGCGTCAGCACAGAGCTGAGGGGCGGCGGAAAAGCCGACCTAAATTCCGCTAGCTGGGACCGGCCGTTAACAGGTTTCTGCAAGAACAACGTTTAACTACTCTCGCTCCAAGACACGCTGGGAGGTAACGCCCACAGGCAGGCCAGGCCACACCCCTCTGCCAACAGGAGGGCGGCCGCATGAGTGACGCTGCCTGTCCCGCTGATGCAAGCAGACCACCATCTTCAGACACGGGTCAGCACGCTCGCGGCACGCAAAGCGCAGCGCCCGCACACAGAAGGCGCCCGGCAAGCGCTGGGGGTGAAGGCCCACCAGGCCTGGGTCAGAGCTGCACATGCGGAGCTGGTGTCCACCCCCGGCCGGACCCTCTGCACAGGTGGACCCTCCGTACGGGGGTGCTCGGCCTCCCCCGCTCCATCAGGTGTCCCGCAGGTGCGCTCACTATCTGAGGAAGTGACCAAGTAACCGCAGGACAGCAGGACGAGCGGGGCTGTGGCAGGGGACGTCAGGTGGCCCGGGCGGAGGGAGCTCACCCGGGAGCAGCCTCTGGGCCATCCCTGCGCCCACTTCCCCAGGGTCACCATGACCCTCGCCAAGGACGGGGGTGGGGGGTGGGGGTCCCACTTGCAGCCACTGCACCAAGCCGCCTCCTCCTCGGGGTGATGCCGGCTACTCGGCTCCAGTCTAAAAGCCTTCTTCTGGAAGTGAATCCCCAAAGGCTCCCAAATGGGTGTGGACAAAAGGAGCAAAGGTCCGGAAAGTCACAGAGCCCCGAGGCAGTTCTTGCGGGGGGAGCTGCAAAGGCGGCCCGCAGAGCCCCTCCCGCCTGCTGCGCCGGGTCGCTCTTGCCACGCATCCACGCGGGAGGCCAAGGACCTGGAGGCGCCGTCCACACCACCCACGGCATCTCCGGAGTCCTCACGGTGCACGGGGGCCCTCCGAGCACAGGGTCGGTCCCACGGCGGAGACCCGCAGCCGCCGCCCAAGGCAGGGTGACCCCGGGTCGACGGGCCCCGCAAAGAGGTCCACCCAGGGAAGGCCCACCCAGGGGAGGCCTGGCGGGTCCCGCGGACCCGCACCTCCCTCGCTCCAGCTACGCCCGGCGCCTCCCCGCCCGCGCGCCGAGAGCCCCGCGTCCTCGCAGGTATACTCACTTTTCCTCAGCGCAAACTCCTCGTCCGAAGGCTTCCGCTCAGGCTTGCGCTTGGGGAGCAGCTTTTTCATGGTCTTGGGACTCTTGCTGAGATCCTAGGGAAGCAAAGGGGGAAAGGCTGACAGACCCCAAAGGTAGGAACTTGCGCGGGTCCGCGAGGAGGGCCACTGTGAAGGTGTGAAGCAGCAGACGCTCCGGCACCGCGGGGGCGCCCGCTCCCCTCGAGCTCTGACCCTTCTTTGCCGGAGGCTGAGCATCATCTACAGACAACAGGGCGCACACTCCGATAAGAACCCTCGTGTCACCTGGATCCGGGGGCACCGGGACGACAGCCACGCCTGGCTCGGAAAGGCCAGCTGGCCGAGGCCTGCGCAGGGAGCTGCGCGCTGCTAACTCTGGGGCAGGCCCCCCAGCTGCAGCCAACCAGCAAGAGAGGGGCAGCTAAGGCCACCGTTAACAGAAAGACAAGTAAACGCAGCTCCTTCGGGAAAGCGCCTGAAGCCTCGAGGGAGGAGAAAAGGGTCTGAGAGCAGCCCACGGGCTCGAGGGCAGAGGCGTGCAGAAGACAGAGCCCACCGCCCAGAGCCACGTTCACCCCTCCCCGCAACACAGCACCCGAACCCCCCCAGCCCCCCGCGAAGGGGAAGGTGGAAGACAGAGCAGGCCCGAGCCCAACGCGGCGGGCAAGGCTGTGACTGTCAAGCGGATACTGAATTTTCATGTCAGGAAAGGCTAACTTCTGCATCATTTAAATTATATAAACCACTGGTGAACCTTATGATGAGAATCCAAGACTTGGGACATGACTCGTGCTGTGGGACGGGTCAGACTGAAAAGCAGAGAGAACACAGCCTGAGTTTTTAAGGTGTCTCTTCAAAATCTTCCCCATGAAAATGAAAATTTTAAAGCTCCTGAAAGTGCAGCAGAAATCAGTCCCTAAAGAGGTGAAGCCAGCATGTGTCCTGTGGCTTCCCTGAGTCCTGGGCAACGGAGGTGAAGCCGGGCAGAGCGCCCACTCGGCAATGCTCTGTTCGGCCTTTCGTCTGTGACCACTTTCCACCAGGCGGTCTGCGTGCTCGGCACACTGGACGTGAGCACGGCCACACCCCTCCACGCCTTCCTCTCCCTCCTCCGTCCCACTCTCCCTCCCCAGCAATGAGATCACCAGGGCTTGCCCACACGCCTGCGACACAGACATCAGCACTCTTCCGGGAGCTTGCCAGGGCGAGGAGCGCTCCGACCTGGGCACAGGTACACGTCACAAAAACCAAAAGTGATTGACAGAAACATAAAGGGTTAACTGTAACTTACGTTGTACTCTTCTATAGATCTTAAAACACCTAGGGCTGCCAGCAAGCACGGAGGGGGTGTCTGCTCCAGGGCCTCTGCAAATGCAGCCTCGTGGACACGCAAAGGCTCACACCAGCCTCACAGCCAGGCCGCGCCCGCCACACTCAGCCACGCCTACGGTAACCAAAGTCCACTCACACTCATCATTCCACACCATCACCAGCTTGCTCAAGGGCAGGTACCCCTGGACCCCACTTCCCCTTCTCGTGAGGGCAGGGAGGGAACAGCAGACACGTGCGAACGCGGTCCGAGTGGAGGAGCGCCGCCCTCGGCCCCGCCCTCCCCCGCCAACGCGCCCCCCGCCTCACACAGCTGAGCAGACGCAGGGCTCCCGGGCAAGAGCTCAAGCCTGACAAGGGTCACACGGTGTGGCAGAGTGGCACGCACACAGCGAGCTGAGACCCATCACAACCTAGTTCAAAGTTCTTTCAGCGAGAGGCCGGGAGGCCCACGCGAAGCCTCCCAGCCCCGTGGCCTCTGGGCAAAGGGAACGGAGGTCAGGTGGGCACAGAAACAGCTCCTCTGTGACGAGCACAGAGAGGGCCCCGCCATGAGGGTCTCCCCAGGGCTCCCGGGACCACAGGAAGGAGTGACAAGAGAACAAAGGCAGACCCTTCACAGTTCGGAAGAGGCCGATCTGCTTTATGTCACGGGATGGCCCACGTTTCTGAACTCCCTGGACTGAAGCAGGGAACGGCCGAAGTAACACGCCCAGCCGTCAAGTCGGGGCTCACCTCCTTGTAGCAGAGAGCAGCTGAGGGCCGGAGAGGGGGTGCGGGTCGCAGGCAGCTCAGGCTCCAGGGCTTGGGGGTCTTCGGAGGCTCCAGGGGCCCCCAGTTGATGGTGGTGTGTGGAGTGCCGTGGTGCGAGGGGTGAGGCAGCGTGTGGTAGGCGGGCGTCAGCGGCACGGGCTTGCTGTCCGCATGCTTGCTGGACGGCGTGACCGAGTGGGAGGGGAGCTGCGTGGGGCACAGGGCGGGAGAGAGCAGAGACACCGTTCAGTGTCAGGGGAGCCCTGAGCAAACACACCCGGCCCGCCAAGATGCCCCCGCTGGGGCAGCCCCAGGCTGTGGGCAGTGCTCTGGACTCTCCAGGTGCTCAGTCTCTGGGCCACTTGGGTTGAGCGAGGAGCCACTGTCCCGCGTGCTGCTCCAGGCCGCGGCTGAGCTGGGGTCAGGAAGCAGCGGGGCGCTGGGGGTCCAGACCCGGAAATTCCACCCCCCACCTTTAACTGCCATGGACTCACGTTTGCAAAAAGGTATTTCATTTAGTACAGATACCTGAACTGTATGACAGAACAGGCATTCCCTGCACTGAGAATGTGATTATGGGGAGGGTAATGATTACCTCCCCAGCTGTATTACTCACTGCCTGGTGATTCAGGGGTGGCCAGAACTAGGGCCTGATCCCTGTTTTTGTTTAAAAAAAAAAAAAAAACATGCTCCCGGGACACAGTCAGGCCTATTCCTGTCAGTGGCTGCTTTTGTATTACAAAAGCAAACTGTAATTGTGACAGAGACCATATTGCCTAAAAACCCCCAATATTTACTGCCTGTCTTTTATTAGAAAAATTTTGCCAATCCCTGGGATAAAACATTTTCTCAGAAAAATCAGCTTTAATCAAAACAAAGTTATAGAAATCTAATTTCTCAGAAGGACCTTATTAATGGGGTTTATATTCCTAGAAAACCCAAAAGTATTCCATCACACTGACAATTAAATAAGAAAATGTTAAATAAAATAAATAACATTCAAAATTAGCTAAAGAACTCAAATTGGCCGAAAACAATACAGTATGCTTAAAAGGAGAAAGAGCTGAGTGGTTCTGTGAGCTGGAAACCTGAGTGAGATCATCATTCGAAAGAACTGAACAATATCTGAAAAGCAGGCTTAAAGGGAAGCCCAGGCTCTAGCTGAGGCAGGGTGTCCAAGGACAGAAGCAGTGGACTCTCTGCAGTGACCACACACCTGTCCTGGGTGTGTGTGTTGTAACGTGTTAATACAACCACTACAAAATAATTTTTTCAAACTAAATAATTCACAAAAGGAGAAAATTGCGCAAAACATCCCTTCTAGCAATGTCACGGTAAGTAACATTTGGTTTTATTTCTCCTTGCTGGTAAAAGTCAAGAGAGGTAGCTTTATGCTAAAGTTAGAGTATTATTCAAGCTGGACACAGCAATCACAGGGAGAACACAGACACCCCCAGAGAGAACCTCCGTAAGAAGAGCACACAACACTTGACAACCCTGCGTGTGGGGCACAGCGCCCTCCAGACAGCGGGGCTGTAACTCCCTTGCCACTATGTGACAAGAAAAGGAACGAGAGCGGCCAGCGTCCCGATACACAGCACAGTATTACTTGATGTGACTTTATAAAGGTTAGTTTCAGGCTGTTACAGACAATCTGAGCGAGAAGGCACTTCCCTTTTCCTTATAAACACACACGTGGACGCACATATGTCCTTGGGATAAATTTAGTCCCGTGAAAGCTAAGCATCTTTAGTACTTTTTAAAAGTATGGAAAAGTTATAAATGGTGGAGCCATTCAAAATGAAACATTAGCTGAAGCAAATGAGCAGTTTTAACCCCCAAACTGTTGAGAAATGCCCTAAGACATTGCACCTGTGACCAGCACGCTGCGCCATGGCCACCGTCCCTGAGCTAAAACTTTAACCCCAAGGATGGCGACCACAGGGGGTAGAAAACTCCCAGTAAAGATCGTCACAGTCTGGCAAGGATGGCAAGAAGAACCCACCAGCCAGAAATGCTGTGAGACCCTAGTCATTTGTAAGAAGGTTCTTGCCTGGTTCTTCAATATTATCTGGTAAAGATGATGAATGATCAGATGATTCAATACCACCAGTATCTTAAGCATGAAACACCAGTAAAGAGAAGTTTTAAACACTGACACTTTGGTGCTGATATATTTTGAAATGTTGAAGTATCTAAAAACTTAAAGAGCTGTTGAGCTTTTCTAAAAGTAGAAGATACAGATTTCTTACAATCAAAACAATGAGTCAAAAATTACATTTTAATGCCTTCAACATGAATCTGGTCCTTTTTGTCATCGTAAGTATTCACTGTTTGTCAGAAAAGCCCTCTATGGATCAGTGGCTCTCAGGCTTTTGGTTGAAACCAACTTGGGTTACACGACCCACTCTGAGCAAGGCAGCTTCCTAGCCAGGGGCCATGAACTGTGTGTGTGTGTGTGTGTGTGTGTGTGTGTGGCCATGAACTGTGTGTGTGTGTGTGTGTGTGTGTGTACGCACACGTGCGCATAGCAATTCACCATCCACTGGCAATGAGCAAGTGCTTGCAGAGAAACACAACACACATGTTGTGCTTTCCTGACCCAGAGGCTGACTGTGCCTTAAAGCACTTGATCACTTGCTGGCAACCGAACCCAAGGCTGACCCCGGAGTCTGGAGGCGGGAGAGGGATGGGGGCCCTTACGGTGTGAGACGGCACAGAGTGAGGCTTAATGGTGGGGTTTCCCGCAGAGGTGACCTTCGTCTGCTTCTGCAGATGGTCCACCCACTCGTGCAGGTCCTGCTGGTTGCTGCAGGACACTAAGATCCGCTCAATCATGCTCCCTGGAAGAGAGAAACACAGCTGAAATGGGGAGCAGGCGGAACACACGCACACGCGCACCCCCGAGGAGGGCCAACAGCGCTGCCGTGTCAGCCCCCCAGAAGGGTCGGCAAGGGTCTGCACACAGAGGGCCAGCTGCCTGGTCACCCGGACAGAGGGCATCCACAGAGTCTGTGCCTATCACCTGATATTTCAAATGCATTTCTATGATTTTCACTGTCCTCAAGCTTTGTGATTGTCATTCCTGTCGTTGGTAGCTTTCCCTAAAAAAGACCCCCCCCCCAAAAAAAACAC